GAAAATACTATTTGTTGAACTGAGCTTGTTGCTAAATCCCCAGGCCCATTTCAGTAGAGGGTCCTGTTTACATCAACAATTAATTGCTTCCAAACACTAGCAAAGAAATCTAAAGATGGAAAATCGTTACCTTTGAAAAAGGAGTGTGTGATCAGGGGGTGTCTTTCCCATTAGGGCCTGCCAGGCTCTCTCATGCTGCCTCTGCAGAGAGACTCTCTCCTGGGCAAGAAACACGAATGGCAAACTTTATTGCTGTTAAAGATATGTTAGATGATTAACATAGCCATTCTCTTCTTACTAGAGATGGCCAAACATGTGGAAAGAAAAAGGAAGAAGAAATAGGCATGAAAAACACTGAAAAATGCACCTTGGGAAGGGTAACCACAGGGAGGAAGTGGGAGGAGAGCTATTACACCGCAAGGAATATAATCAGTGTCACAAAACAAAACGTGCAACAACTGTTGAAAGTAAAATCAATCTGCTTTGCAAAATTTCACCCAAATCACAATAAAAAAAAAGTTGGGGGGGGAGGGAAGCACTTTGGTAGGAAAAAAAAATCACTTCTAAACTGTGTAGTCTTGGATAAGCCACTTGTTATGATTGAATTGTGCCCTGCCCCCCACTCCAGATGTGTTGAAATTCTGACCTTTGTACCTGGGACGTGATCTTGTTTGGAAAAAGGGTTTCCTTTTGTTATGCTAAGGAGGGCTTACCAGAACAGGGTAGGGATCCTAAACCTAATCACTTCTGAGTTCTACAAACAGCAGGATAGACACAGGGACACTTGTGGGGGAAGACAGACATATGTGAGAACCGTCTACAAGCAAAGAAGCAATTAGTGCTTCAGGAGCAAAGGTTAGGAGGAAGGAGGACCTGGGTAAAGAAACAGATACACTCAACGTGTAAGAAGTTGGATTTCTTCTAATAGGCAAAGACCTAGTCACCTCCATTCTGGAGCAAACAATCTTAACTAATGTTAATTAATGTTAACTCATGTATGCAGTCCAGGGAGCTAACCGTCCCAAAGCTGGTGAGTGGCAACCAGCCAGGGTAACTACAAACCAAACGAAACCCATTGCCATCGACTCAATTCCTACTCACAGCTACCCTACAGGACAGAGGAGAACTGCCCTGTTGGGTTTCCAAGACTGTAATCACTAAGGCTGGCGGTTCAAACCCACCAGCCACTCCTCGGAAGGAAGGTTGGGCAATCCTACTTCTGTAGTGATACTGCCTCGGAAACCCAAGGAGGGGTCGCTATGAGTCGGGGCCGACTCGACGGCACATAACAACAACAACAACAACAATCACTATGGAAGTAGACTGTCCTATCTTTCTGCCAGGAAGTGGCTTGGGTTCAAACCAGGGATCTTTCAGTTAGCAGCTGAGAGCTTAACCATTGCACCATCAGGCTCCCTTGAAGAAAATGATAGATAGCATAGTGATATACAGCAAAGACAACATAAGAACTTGGACTTCTGAAGCCCATAGTTGGTGTGAGTGCTGTGTAAGTAAAAACTTCTCACTGGATAGATACGTTTTGCAGCAATAAGAGCTGTGCTTTTAGTTTACATTTTTTTTTTTTTTTACCTCAAACTTAAAAAGAAAATTGTGTTTAAAAAGTAAGGCTGATTAAAATTATATTTACAGTTCTCTAAGAAGCATTTACAGATGCTCAAATTAATGTGCTTTGGGAATCATTTGGAAAGGTAAATACCATTTAAGATATGAACCATTTAAGGTAAGAGAAGACGTAAAGCAATAAAGAATTGCATAAGTGAAGAATAAGGAAACGAGTAAGTTGAATATTCCAAATACTGAATTATTTAAATTCATATTAATTTATTGTCATAGTCATAGAAAGCATTTTATATGGATAAAATATCAGAATAACAAGCAAGAAAAGTGATGTTGGCAGACTTTTTTGGACTCGAACAGCAAACAATCATATTCACAGGCACTTCTTTCAAGAACAGCAAATCAACTGGGTCTGAAGTAAATCCCAATTGGCCTTACACAGGAGGAATAAGGAAGAGGTGTCAGTCTGTTGCATTAATTAATATTACTTAATTAGTAATGCTAAGGCCCTCCATGTTCCAGCATCCCAGTTTCTACAAAGAAGGTAGGAGGAAAAAAAAAGGTACATTGACCTCACCCCACCAATGAGAGGATACCAGGGAGTCTCTCTCTCTCTCAGTTCTGCCTGACTTGGTCTCTGCCCTGGTCTAGTGTCCAGAACAGAGCCTGAGCAGCAAATATCTGCACTACACTGAAAAAGCAAATACTGATCCTACATAGATGGTAGGAATTCAACAAATACAGGATGGGTGGATGGATGGATGAGTAAGGAAATGGGAGGGAGGGAGAAAGAGAAGGAGTGGGGAGAGGGAGGAATGAAAGGCAGGCAGGTCTTTGCGGTGGGAGTGGGGAGGTTGGCTAGGAAAGCAAAAGCCCTTCTTGGACTTGCTAAATGTGAAAGGCACAATGAACACATCCGCCAATAAACTGTCAAACAGACTAAGGCTACTGCTTCTTTTTCTCTTTCATGATGTTTTTGGATGAACAGAAGCTCATAATGTACCTCATCATTTTGAGCTTTTCCCCCGTAGTCAGTGTTTTTTGTGTTATTATTTAAGAAATCTTCCCCACTCTCAAAGTCATACGAATATTGTCCTACACTATCTTCTGGAAATATTATCATATTGTCTCTTACATTTATGTAGCCATCCAGCTTAAATTAATTTGGGGATATTGTATGAGATCAGGGTCCATTTTAATTTTTTCCATATTTATATCCAACTGATGCGGAACAAAGGATCAACATTCTTCCGCTGCTTGCCAGTGCCACCCTTGACGTAAAAGAACTCTCCACAGGCACGTGGACTTGGTTTCTGGGCTATTAGTCTGTCCATTGCTCTACCTTTGTGCCAATATCATGTTGTCTTAATTACTGAGACTTTATAATAAACTTTGCTATTTGAGAAATAGGAGTTCTGGTAGAATAGTGCCTAAGATACTTGACTACTAACCAGAAGGCTGGCGGTTCAAACCCACCAGCCACTCCTCGGAAGGAAGGTTGGGCAATCTACTTCCATAGTGATACCGCCTCAGAAACCCAAAGAGGGGTTGCTATGAGTCGGGTTCAACTCAACGGCACATAACAACAACATTTGGGAAAATAAGCCCTCCCTCTTTATTCTTCTTCAAAAGCGAGTGGCTGGATATTCTTGGTTCTGTGGATTTGCTTGGTATTACATAAATATTAAAATCAGCTTCTCAAATTCCACAGAAAAACCTGCAGGGGTTTTGACTGGCTGGCACTGAATCTGTGGATCTGTTTGGGGACAGCATAGTACTGAGTCTTAAAATCCGTGAACATGATCATCCTTCCACTTATTGAGATCTTCAGTTTTTCCTACATGTTTCCTACTTCTCTGTGTAGAGTTATAATATATCTTTCAGTAGATTTATTCTTAAGTATTTGATATTTGTGAATGCCACTGAAATTATCTTTTGAGAAATTTAAATGTACTTTTAAATTGTATAGAAATCCAGTTTATTTTTGTGTGTTGATGTTGGATTCAATAACCCTGCCAAATTCATTTAATAACTGCTTTCTAAAACTTACACCATTTATCTCCTGTCCATGACTTATTGCACTGGCTAGGGCATTTGATACAATGTTGAATTATTGCTTTATTTTTATTTATTCCAGCCCCCATTAGTTAAAATCTACATTTTTAAATCTTTTAGTGTCATGTCTAGAGAAGACAAAGTAAAGTATTATAAGGAAATGTGCAAAGACCTGGAATTAGAAAGCCAAAAGGGAAGAACATGCTTGGCATTTCTCAAGCTGAAAGAAATGAAGAACAATTCAAGCCTCACACTGGAATACTGAAGGATTCTATGGGCAAAATATTGAACAATTCAGGAGGCATCAAAAGAAGATGGAGTGAATACACAGAGTCACCGTACCAAAAAGAATTGGTCAATGTTCAGCCATTTCAGGAGGTAGCATATGATCAAGAACCAATCATACCGAAGGAAGAAGTTGAAGCTGCACTGAAGGAATTGTTGAAAAACAAGGCTCCAGGAATTGACAACAATACCCATTGAGATGACTCAACAAACAGATGCAGCACTGGAGGTGCCCACTCATTTATGCCAAGAAATTTAGAAGACAGCTACCTGGATGACTGACTAGAAGAGATCTATATTTGTGCCCATTCCAAAGAAACGTGATCCAACAGAATGTGGAGATTATCAAACAATATCATTTATATCACACCCAAGTAAAATTTAGCCAAAGATAGTTCAAAAATGACTGCAGCAGTATACTGACAGAGAACTTCCAGAAATGCAAGCTGGATTCAGAAGAGAATGTGGAACAAGGGATATCATGCTGATGTCAGATGGTTCTTGGCTGAAAGCAAAGAATTCCAGAAAGATAGCTACCTGTGTTTCATTGGCCATGCAAAGATATTTGACTGTGTGGATCATAATAAATTATGGATAACATTAAGAAGAATGGGAATTCCACAACACTTAATTGTGCTCATGAGGAACCTGTAAATAGACCAAGAGATTGTCATTCAAACAGAAAAGGGGATACTGCATGGTCTAAAATCAGGAAGGATGTGCATCAGGGCTGTATCCTTTCACCATATTTATTCAATCTGTATGCTTAGCAAATAATCTGAAAAGCTGGACTATGTGAAGAACGTGGCATCTGTGTTAGAGGAAGACTCACGAACAACCTGTGATATGGAGATGACACAACCTTCCTTAGTGAAGAAGACTTAAAGCATTTGCTGCAGAAGATCAAAGAATATAATCTTCAGTATGGATTACACCTGAATACAAAGAAAACAAAAATCCTCACAAATGGACCATAAGCAACAATAAATAGAGAAAACATTGAAGTTGTCAAAGATTTCCTTTTACTTGGATCCTAAGTCAGCACTCATGGAGGTAGCAGTCAAGGAATCAGACGTCATATTGCACTGGGCAAATCTGCTGCAAGGGACCTCTTAAGGAACAAAGGTGTCACTTTAGAGACTAAGGTGCACCTAACCCAAGCCATCGTACTTTCAATCATTTCACATGCATGTAAAAGCTGGACAATGAACAAGGAAGACCAAAAAAGAATTGATGCCTTTGAATTAGTGATGAAGAATATGGAAAGTACCACGGACTGCCAGAAGAAGAAGAAGTGCAGCCAGTATGCTCCTCAGAAGCGAGAATGACCAGTCTCACTTTCTTTTGTCATGTTGTCAGAAGGGACAAGTCACTGGAGAAGGATTTCACTCTTGGTAAAGTGGAGGGTCAGCAAAAAAGGGGAAGATTCCCAATGAGATGGACTGACATAGTGGCAGCAAAAATGGGCTTAAGCATAGTAAGGATTGTGAAGATGGCTCAGGACTGGGCAGTGTCTTGTTCTATTATACATAGGTGCGCTCTAAGTTGGAATCAACTCGACGGCACTAACAACAGAGGTTAAAATACGTGTCCTTGGCTCATCAAAGTCTGCTATTGTTACTTGTAGATTCCTCCTGGACTTTAGATGCATGGGTTTTATAACTTCATCTCTATTTATTCCCTTTGTGTCTTATCATTGTTTTTGTGCATTTCAATTCTGTGCATATTTTAAATTATTTTTATACTGTCAACACCCCTTTGGATTTACTCATATATTTATCCTTTCTCTTGATCTTCATTCTTCCAGTATCTTTGACATCCTTTCTTACATCATTTTCATTCTGCCTAAAGGACATTCTCTAGTGTTTTCTTTCATGTAGTTTTTCTGTGACAAATTCTCTGCTTCTTTTGTCTGGAGATATTTTTAATTTGCCTTCGTTTTAGAAGGATATTTTCACTGGGTATAGTGGCTAAAGTGCTTGACTGCTAACCAGAAGGCTGGCGGTTCAAACCCACCAGCCACTCCTCGGAAGGAAGGTTGGGCAATCCTACTTCCATAGTGATACTGCCTCGGAAACCCAAGGAGGGGTCGCTATGAGTCGGGGCCGACTCAACGGCACACAACAACAACAACAACAATAATATTTTAGGTTAGGGGTAACGTGATTTTTATCACTTTAAAAATTCCCTTCCATCTTCTTGCACCCATCATGCCTTTTGGAAAGTCAGCTGTCAGTCTAATTGTTACTTACTTCAAAGTAACCTTTCTTCCCTCCTGACTCCTTTTAGAATGTTTTTGTCTTTGTATCTTAGTACAATGTGATTTCAAAACAAATGTTTGTCTAAGTTGAGTTTCTAAGACTTCTTGAAGCTGTGGCTTGAAGACTTTAGTCAAAATTGTAAAATTCTCATCCCTTATTTCTTTAAATCTTGCTTCTATTCTATGTCCTCGCTCTTCTCCCATTAGGATGCAATAACACGTGTTACAATTTTTTAAAGGTGACCATGTTTCTCTTACTCTCTCACTCAATTTTCCATCTTTTTATATTTCTAAGATTCAATTTTCTGACCGATTTTCCAGTCCATTAATTCTCTCTTAAGCTCTGCTTCATTGGGTGTAATTATAGTTTCCATTTAAATTTTCTTGTTTATTGTCCTCACTCTTTTGCTGAAATTTTCAACTTTGTTTTCTACGTTCCTAAATATTATAAGTATAGTCATTTTAAAGTCTGAGTTTGGAAATACCAACACTTGGAGATTTTTAAGTCTATGTCTGATACTACTAATATCTGGAGATGCTGGTGGCCTATTTATATTATCTGTTGGCTTTTTTTTTAGGAGCTCTGGTAGCATAGTGCCTAAGGGACTTGACTGCTAACCAGAAGGCTGATGGTTCAAACCCACCAGCCACTCCTCGGAAGGAAGGTTGGGCAATGTACTTCCGTAGTGATACTGCCTTGGAAACCCAAGGAGGGGTCACTATGAGATGGGTCTGACTCGACAGCACATAACAACAACAACAACTGTTATTTTTAGTTTATGTTTTCTCAACTCCTTGTATGCATGGTTACTTTTTTCAAATTGTATATTATACATTGTATTTGTAAAATTATTTAAAGAAATAATGTAAGGCTTAGGATTATGCATGCTCTTTCCAGAGAATATTTACTTTTTTTTTTTTTTTTAATTTATTCTACCATGTATTTGGGAACACTAGTAATCTGGGATCTTTTCAATGTAAAAAGAGCTTGAAGTTAAACTTTAGTTCCTATGAAGTTCTGAATATTTTTTGTTCTCCCTTGCTCCTAGATGTAGGCCTTCAGGTACTAACCCAAAGCAAACATGGTTCACCAGGGCTCCCTCCTTGAGGGACCTTGGACTTCAATACTGTTGCCTTAGTCCCATGAGACTGTCAGAAGTGCCATCAGCCCCCAGTCATGCCTATCTGAGATGACAAAGGTCACAAGGAAAAACTGGCCTTTGATGCCAGACTTACTTCCCAGATCCTCATCCTTTCCTAATTCCTGGCCAGGCAATTTTTCACTCTTCTGTTTGCTCTCCAATAGTCAGGTAGATTTCTTTTTTGTCTAGGTTTAATAGTTGTCCTCAGCCGAATGGTTGATCCAAATTACTGAGTCTCTGTTATTAGAAGTAGAAATCCAGTAAACCACTTGGAGGTTCTTGATGGTACAAAGGATATTGTTGATTTTCCCAAAGGAGATTTGTTGTTCTCAACTATAAAGAGGTACATCTGAGGGCCTGAACCCTTTCTCCATCCTGGCCAATCAACACCACCAAAGCCACTACCAACATTTGTTTTGTGGTCAATAATTCACAAAGAAGTTTCATGTGCATCTGACATAATTACACTGTAAAGTAGGTATTATCTCCACTTAATAGAAGAGGAAGTGGCAGCTCAGAGCAGATAAATGACTTTTATAAGATCACCCAGTGGGTAGCAATGTCAAATGAACTTAAATTAGTGCATTTCCCTCTCAGGTCAGGAGTCAGTCATGAAATGGAGATAGAAACAACCATTGAGCAGAAACACACACAGACACAACACACGCAAATCAACACGTAATTACCCAAGGAGTTGTGACACAGGTCATATGTGTCTAAGGAATCAGACCGTTCTCCATAAACCACACACAAAACCCACGTCATTATTTTGTAATCACACCTTGACACACACTTAATTGTAAACTATGCACATGGAAAGAATGAAGTATTAGAATCCAGTGACAGACCTGGAAAGGCCTTATTCACGTGGTGAGTTATGAGGTGGGTTTCAGCAGGAGAGGAGGAATGGAGCTTTAAATATGCGTGGGAAGGAGACTTCACAGAAATAAACAAAAGAAGACTTGAAGATGGAACTTTCTCCTGTGTTCATCAATCTCAAATGGCTCTCTTGATAGTTTCCAACAGAAAATATGAACATATTAGATCTTCTGTTAAGACATCAAAAGAGCACACAATTTCTACCTCTTTTGGGGGAGGAGTACATGAGTATTAGATCACTGTTGTTGTTCGTAGCTGCTGTTGATTCCTACTCATGGTGACCCCCTGTGCACAGAGTGGAACAACTCCATGGGGTCTTCAAGGCTGTGACCTTCCAGAAGGAGATTTCCAAATCTGTCTTCCAAGGTGCTTCTGGGTGGGTTCGAACAACAAACCTTTCGGCTGATAATTGAGCGCTTCACTGTTTGCACCACCAAGGGACTCTTCATTTGGCTGTCGTGCTTTTCTGTTCTTGCTAAATGGAACAATTGGCTTCCACCGGAAGCCTGGGTGGAAAGTACACCTTACACTGAATATTCTATTTTTAGAAGCAACACCTCTTCTCAGAGGTGTAGAAAGAGGCTAGAGGTCATATCTTGCTGACACCATGAGAAAGTAGTTTGGGTGAAAGTTATAGTCACAAAGGGATTGACTCTCTGACACTGTGTCATGTTCCCAGTCACTGCTTCACCTCTTCCATCACCCTCTTACCGCTGGCGTTACTTTGGATGGAAGGCTGGCACATGATTTAACGAGGTGATTTCTGTCTGTAGAATCCAGGAAATCACTCGTACTCAAGATTGAAGGCTTCCTGGGAGGCTCTTTGGCTATCAGGTTATCAGCTGGAAGATATAATTAATACCAATAATGTGAGTCTCAAAAATAAAAATTTAATAATAAATAAGAGGCAGAATAGGAAAAAGTCAGCCCGGAGCACCTAGTAGATATAAGCCATGAAACCAGGGCTCAGTCAACACAGGCTTGGGAATGAAAGTAAATAAAAACCTTGGCAAAGACAATGGCATGTAAGTACTTAATTGAAAAGTCACCCTTATAATTACTTTCCATTTGACAAAATCCTTTAGAAGAATTTAGAAAGGTTAAAAAGAAAAGAAATACTGCAAAGTTAAGAAGAAACTTTGAAATAGAATGGAGTGGATGATGAGATCACTTTTAAACAGAATTCATTCATAAATAATATCTAATGATTCCACTAAAACATTACAATATCCAAGAACATCCAAACCAAAACCACTGTAGTCAAGTCGATTCCGACTCACAAGCGGCCCTACAGGACAGAGTGGAACTTCCCCATAGAGTTGTCAAGGCTGTAAATCTCTACAGAAGCAGATAGCCCCATCTATCTCCCATGGAGTGACTGGTGCGTTGAAACCATCAACCTTTTGGTTAGCAGCCAAAGGCTTTAATCCCTATGCCACCAGAGCTCCTCCAAGAACATAAAGTGTCTAAATTTCTGTTACTGCTCCTCTACACAGGGCCTGGTGTAAATTCCTTTGGATATGCAGGAGCATGAACGCTCCCAGGAGTATTACTTTACAAATGCTAAGATAAATCATTTCCAAGGTACCTCCAGTCAACATGGCTGACTGAGCAGTTGTAGGGAACTATTTCCACCCAAACACATGAAACTAGGTAACATATAACGTAATTTTTTCCCTCATTTTTAAAAATACACAACAAAGCTCAAAGCCAAGGAAGACAATTTCCAAGTCCTAGTAATGAAATAGACTCCAGGTCAGAGGAGAGGGAGTCAGCACCAAGTAGTCAGAGTGTATCAGGACCGCACACCTGCCTTAGGCCTGAGGTTTGAACACCTGAACTGAGAGAGAAGCCACAGTCCCTGAGTGCTTGACAACATGGGCTCTTGACGACATGAGACTCTATAAAGGGCATGTTCTGGTTCCCTGGTGCCGCTCTGACAGGAATATACCACAAATGGGATGGCCTTAACAAACAGTTTATTCTTACAATTTGGAGGCTTTAAGTCCAAGTTCAAAGTGTCAGGCTCTAGGGCTTGGATGAAAGGCCCTCAACCTTGGGGTCCAGCCCACTGGAGATAGAGGCATTTTTTCACTCAGACAAGCTGCTGGCTGCTGAGGCTGACTTGCCCAAGGTCAACAAATAAAATGGCACAGTCCCGATGTTACCAAACCACATGGCAGGCCATTAATTCAAGACCATTTTAAGTCCCAAGGTCGGCAGAGCATGGCAGGCTGCTGAAAAATGACATGGCTACATGTGGGGTCCAAGCATGTATAGGCTAGAGACCATTCCCCAAGGCTTCTGCTTATATACAGGAAGCAGACCACATTCCCTAAGGCAGCTACGCAGCTGCTTGTGGTAGATCCCGCCATGGAGCTGATTGCCAGTCTCATCATGGGGAATACTACATCCAGCTGCCCAGCTACTCAACCAGGCCCAGCCAAGTGGACACACAAACATAATAACCACAGGGGAGGCCTGAAGATTGCAGTCAGCAGGTGGAGGGACTTTGCTTCGCCGCAGGTTCTCACCTGGACTGAAGGAGAAGCACCTGTGGGAAATCAGGCTCTAAATCGGCAGTATGCTGACCTTGAACCCTCATCAGACTGTGTGGCAATCCCAAGCTACTAAAACAAGTCCACCTTGTTTTTTCTCCCTCTCTCTCAAGACAGGGCCTGGGCTGAGAGAGAGGGAAAGGAACTTAGCAGTGCCCAAAACCAGCAAAACCACCTGAAGAATCCCAGGTAACAGAGCACTCTGCTGCGGCTGTTGGTAGGTGCCGTCGAATCAGTTCTGACTCATACGTAAAATGTAGTGAAACACTGCCTGGTCCTGCGCCATCCTCACAATCCTTGCTATGCTTGAGCCCACAGTTGCCGCCTAGCGTCAATCCACTTCACTGAAGGTCTTCCCCTTTTTTGCTGACCTACTTTACCAAGCATGATATCCTTCTCCAGGCACTGGGCCCTTCCTGACAGCATGATCCAAGTACAAGAGATGAAGTTCCATCATACTCAATTCTAAGGAGCACTCCAGCTGTACTTTTTCCAAGATGGATTTGTTTATTCTTCTGTAGTACGTTGCTGTTGTTGTTGTTATGTGCCGTCGAGTCAAGCTCGACTCATAGCGACCCCTCCTTGGGTTTCCGAGGCAGTATCACTACGGAAGTAGGATTGCCCAACCTTCCTTCCGAGGAGTAGCTGGTGGGTTTGAACTGCCAGCCATCTGGTTAGCAGGCAAGTGTCTTAGCCACTATGCTACCAGAGCTCCCTTCTGTAGTACACAGTGTATTTAATTTTCTTTGCCAACACCATAATTCAAAGGCATCAATTCTTCTTCAGTCTTCCTTATTCATTGTCCAACTTTCATATGCATATGACATGATTTAAAATACCAAGGGTTGGGTCAGGCACACCTCAGTCTTCAAAGTGAGATTTTTGCTTTTTCACACTTTAAAGAGGTCTTGTGATAGTGAAGGTTGTGCGTCAGCTGGGCTGGGCCATGACTCTAAGTGGTTTAGCAGTTATGACATAGTCACTCCTTATGATGAGATCTGATGTGATCATTTCCATGATGAGATCTGCCTTGAACAGTCAACCAGTTGAAAGGGCATTTCCTTCAGGGTGTGGCCTGCTTCCAGTATATATGGAAATGCTCTGGCAAAGCTCTCTGGCTTTTTGCTCGAGATCCTCCATCTGGCTCATCATCATGTGGACTTGAACCAGTAGCCTGCCATATTGTCTGCCCATCTTGGGATTGCTCTCTTCATAGACTGAAAGCCAACAACTTACCATTTTACCTGCTGATCTTGGATTCATCAGCCTCTGAAGCTAGCAGCTTGCTGTATTGCCTGCTGATCTTGGGTTCATCAGCCCATGCAACTATGTGATTTAGGAGAAACCTCCAGCTTGATGTCTGATCCATGGACTTGGGACTTACCAGCCATTTCTTTGAGATAAGTTTTTTCTTCTCTCTCTCTCTCTACACACACACACACACACACACAGAGAGAGAGAGAGAGAGAGAGAGAGAGGCTTCACTGATTTTGCTTCCCTAAAGAACTCAACCTAAGAGAACTCAGCCTAAGACAGGTCTTTTGCAGCAGATTTGCCTAATGCAATACATCATTTGACTTCTTGACTGCTGCTTCCGTGGGTGTTGGCTGTGGATCCAAGTAAAATGAAAACCTTGTCAAACTCAACCTTTTCTCCATTTGTCATGATGCCACCTATAGGTCCAGTCATAAGGATTGTTGTTTTCTTTCAGTTGAGGTGTAACCCATATTGAAAGCTGTAATCTTTGATCTTCATCAGTGCAAGTCTTCTTCACTTTCAGCAAGCAAGGCTGTATCATCTGCATGTCACAGGGTTGTTAGTCTTCCTCCAATCCTGATGCTGTGTTCTTCTTCATATAGTCCAGCTTCTCAGATTGTTTATTGAGCATACATATTGAATAAGTATCGTGAAAGGATACAACCCTGATGCACACCTCCCCTGATTTTAAACCTTGCAGTATCCCTGTGTTCTGTTCAACTTTCTCTTGGTCTATGCATTGGTTCCTCACAAGCCCAAAGAAGTGATATGGAATTCCCATTGTTCATAATGCTATCTTTAATTTGCTATGACTCATACAGTATTCTATTTCATTTTTGACAACTTCCAATTTTCCTAGATTCATACTTCATGTAATTCATGTTTTGATTATTAATGGATGTTTGCCCTTGTTTCTTCTCATTTTGAATCATGCTACATCAGTAAATGAAGATCTTGAAGGCTTTATTCTACCCATATCATTAAAGTTGCCCCTACTTTGAGAAGGCAGCTCTTCCCCAGTCGTATTCTGAGTGCATTCCAGTCTGAGGGACTCATCTTCTAGCACATTACATCAGACAATGTTTCCCTGCTATTCATTAGCTTTTCAATGCCATGCTTAAGCCCATTGTCACAGGCACTATGTCAATCCATCTCATGGAGGGTCTTCCCCTTTTCTCTGACCTTCTGCTTTACCAAGCATGATATCCTTCTCCAAGGATTGGTCCCTTTTGATAACATGACCAAAGTATGAGAGACAAAGTCTGGCCATTCTAACTTCTAAGAAGCATTCCAGCTGTACTTCCTCCAAGACAGATTTGTTCATTCTTCTAGCAGTCCATGGTACGTTCAAGATTCTTCACCAGGACCATAATTCAAATGCATCAATTCTTCTGTGGTCTTTGTTATTCATTGTCTAGCTCTCACATTCATATAAGGCTACAGAAAATACCATGGCTTGGGTCAGGTTCACTTTAGTCTTCAAGTGACATCTTTGCTCTTTAATGCTTTCAAGAGGCCTTTTGCAGCAGATTTGACCAATGCAATTATGTCCTTTGATTTCTTGACTGCTGCTTCCATGGGGATTGATAATGGGTCCAAGTAAAATGAAACCTTTGACAACTTCAGTCTTTTCTCCATCTACTGTGATGTTGCTTACTGGTCCACTTGTAAGGATTTTGTTTTCTTTGTGTTGAGATTTAATCCATACTGAAGGCTGCAGTCTCTGATCTTCATCAGTCAGTGCTTCAGGTCCTCACTTTCATCAAGGTTGTGTCATCTGCATACTGCAGGTTGTTAATGAATCCTCCTCCAATCCTGAAGCCATATTCTTCTTCATATAGTCCAGCTTCTCGGATTATTACCTCAGCACACAGATTGAATAAGTATGGTGAAAGCATGCAACCCTAACTCATACCTTTCCCGATTTTAAACCATGTGGTATCTCCTTGTTATGTTTAAATGACAGATTTGGTCTTTGTATAGATTTGGCTACATTATCCATAAGTTGTTATGATTCACACAGTCAAATACCTTTGCATAGCCAACAAAATAAAGGTAAACAACTCTGTGATATTCTTTGCTTTCAGCCAAGATCCATCTGACATCAGCAATGATAGCCCTCATTCCACATCCTCTTCTGAATCTGGCTTGAATTTCTGGCAGTTCTCTATCAATACAGTGCTGCAACCATTCTTGAATTATCTTCAGCAAACTTTTACTTGAATGGGATATTAATGATAGTGTTCGGTAATTTCCACATTCCGTGGCTCACCTTCCTTTGGAATGGCAACATTCTTTGGAATGGGAACATTCTCTTACATTCCAGATAACATAGTTGGATGACTATTGGCTTGAACTGTAATGCTACCACTCTAAGACTAGCAGTTCTATAATAAAGGGCTTCATACAATTCTTAATATACTTTCCAATGTCTCAAAACCTCAGCGGACGAAAGATCTTACTTCTTGATTAAAAACAAAACAAAATATAATTACAAAGGTTACCAATACTCTGTAACTAAGCTTCTTAATAGGATCTTATTTGAAGTATTTAAATTAAAGTCAACCTTGGGACATTAAAAATGTATTTAAATTACGTTACAGTCCAAAACAAGAACCAAGTTCTTTAGTATATGGGCTATTTAAATTTCTTTAAATACCTCCAATAAAGCACAAATGAATTTAATGATGCATGGCAGTTTTAAGGCTATTCTATGGATTAGTATCATTACCATTTCAGGGAAATATAAATGAAGTATCTGGAACAATAGGAAGTACATCTTCAATGAATACTAAATGGGCTAAACCTTTTATTTAGACTTAAATCCCTTCAAAGCCAAGTGAATTGAAATAAAACATGTATGAAACATTTTGAAAGAATAAGGATCAGATCAGAACTCCAGAAGAAAGGTGGTGGCAGCCACATACTGAGAATAACAAGTTTCTAAGGTTTTCCTTTCTTTTCTTTCTTTTTTTTTTTTTTTTAAGTTTGTATGTATTTGAATCACATCATCTCGGACAAAACAGCACTTTCACTGCACAAAGGAAGGAAGAACATTAACGATGTTAGCATGCTGGGATGGCCAGCAGTTTCATCAATTATGGGTAAGAAATGTATCACTCAGGGGACATACTGTGAATATTTTGAGGGGAGAAAAAAAACTTCCTTATTCTAATGGCCAATTGTCCTGCATTAATAAAGTTACTTGCATAGCAAAGCAATTGAGTCACTCTCCTGTCCAAAAACATGAGGCTGATCACTTCAATATAAACTTTTTTTAATGTATAAATAAACCTTGCAAAAAAAAAAAAAAAAATACAGCCACAGTAAAGTTTGTGTCTCTTTGAAATTGCTTGAAAATGGAGGACCCGGAAATGGGCTTTATTTTCAGAATACATAAGAGTCTTCGATGCCTTGATAGCTTCAGAATAATTCATTTTTTTCTTTACTTAAGGAGGACTTTAAAAAAGAAATTGTTTATTCAGGTAGCAGTGAACTTTTTTAACTGACGAACAATTAAAAATTATGAATTTATAGCTACCACCAGTAAATGCATGAGCATATATAAAATGCCTATAAAATCCCCATCAAAGAGTCACTGTACTGAAATATGTAACCATGGAAAGGGCTCAAAACAAATGAAAGCACTTTAATATGCTATAGAAGTAAAATATTTATTTATTTTCAATCAGCTAGTTACATAATTCGTAGTAGAAAATAAAGGACAAAGTTGGGTTCCTTAGGAAGTGTTCTCACAAAACTAAATGTGCTGAAAGAAGCTGTTTTTTCAAGACAGAATTAGCTCTCACAACCTATCTGTGTGACTAAGAAAGGACTAATTGCAACTGGAAAAATAATCATTTCATAAAGCACCCATAATAATTGTCCACAGCAAAATTATATTTTCTAGTAGGAAGTTACTATACAACTCCAGGGGAATACATGAACAATGTTTATGATATATATAGCAAAATTAGTACATTTATTATTAAACGAGTCTAGTAGTACGGTTCCAAATCCTTGAGTGTCTAATCAAAGGAACAATTAGTTACTTAAACATCAGGAAAAAGGACAGTATGTGAATAGGTATTCACCCACAGAGATATGAGGTACAGAAACATTTCTTTCCACTTAAACTTACACTTTGAAATGTGTTCACAGAGTTCAAATAATGGGCTCAACATTTAGACACTGTATCCAGAATGTTCAACTAAAACATATAAATAGTAGCTTGGATTTCATAAAAGAATGAATGAGTTTATCATGAAATGTTGATAGTTTGAAGGTAGTAAGACACAGGACAGGTCATTTCAATAGCAGGAATTTGGTACAAAAGATCTAGATGTACGTAGAATTTGGGAAAGAGAAGGGAGAGGAAAAGAGTCCTGAAGATGGGCAGGAAATAAGATAGAAACCTTCCAGGAGCTTAAATACACACTAACGGCATCAACAACAGCATCTTCTTCGAGCAATACATTTGAATAACTGAATTTCCACCCCACACTTGCTAAGGGCTCCTACTGGAAGATGGGTTCTTTCCAAAGTTCTTTCACTGGTCACTTCCTCCAATAAAAACCGTTTTTTGCTTTTCTGATTATTTGTAATTTTTATTAGTGACTTCTTTTGTTCTTGGAAACTGAAGGACTTTCGATGTGGGAGCTGGAACTCCATGGGACTGCCTTGTTTTTCCAAGTTTTGAAAGTTTCCCACCTTTGACTTGGGCACAGCCTTACCACTTTGCTGTCACTTCTTTCAGTGCAAAATATTTGAGTTTTCCTTTTCTGACAGAATTCCACCTGACACATGGGGTCACTACGAGGTGGAACTGATGAGACGGCATCCAACAACAACACATCACAGTACATGTCATATGGTGGTCATCCACATAACTCATTTAATCCTCACAATAACCCCGAGGTAGCTACTATTATCATTCCCATTTTATACAATAGGAAATTGTAACTAAGCTTACACAGCTAGAATCTAGTGGGACTGGAATTTCCAATGATTATGTTAATTTTTTCCCCCAAGTTTATTGATTTTGTTATTAAGAATATACACAGCAAAATATATATCAATTCAACAGCTACTGACTATATACCTTGAGCTGTATAACCATTCTTACCTTTTGAGTTATCCTTCCCTCATTAACATAAGCTCACTAGCCCCTAAGATTTCTATCTAATCCTTTGAGTTGCTGTGCCAACTTGACCTCATATACATAGTCCTTAAAAGAGCATAATGCTCCAGGCAGACCTATATGTATTTTTTAAACTGTCGTTCAGTTTTAAGATGATGTCAGGGGATATTTTGCTTTGAGGTTTAAAGATTATTTCAAGGCCATAGTTTCAGGGGTTCATCCACACTCCTTGGCTCCAGAAAGTCAAGAGGCCATGAGCATTTGAAATTCTGAGCTGCATTTTACCCGTTGATCAAAGATTCTTCGATGTAATCTTTGATCAAAACGTTCAGTAATGGGAGATGGGCACCATCCAGCTCCAGTCTCGCGACAAAGGAGGCGGTCGTTCATGGAGGCAATTAGCCACACATTCCATATCCTCCTCCTATTCCTGACTCTCCTTCTTCATCTGCTGCTCCAGGTGAATACATACCAATGGTTTGGTTTTTCTTTTTGTTGTTGTTGTTAGATGGCCACTTGCAAGATTTTAAGACTCCAGGGACTATGCAATGAACTAGGAGGCAGATCAGAAGCACTAAAAACATTATTAGGCCAAATAGTTGAGATGTCCAAGACCCTAAACCTCCAAACCAAGGAACCAAATCTCAAGAGGTGTTTGGTTGTATATAACCAGCTTCAGCAGCTACTTTATTTATTTATTTTTGGTCACTGTTATAAATATACCTACCACACAATTCTTGCCACTACAACCTTTCACAGGTGTATGACTTATTGACAGCAATCTAATTGGCTGCACAATCCTACCCTCAATCAATGCAATGCTTCCATCACTGCTAACCTCTCTAAGGAGCTCTGGTGGGGTAGTGGTTAAGGCATTTGGCTGCTAACCAGAAGGTTGGTGGTTCAAACTCAACAGCTACCCTGTAGAAGAAAGATGAGGTAGTCCAGTTCCGTAAAGATTTACAGCCTTGGAAACACAATGGGGCTCATTATGAGTCAGAATCAACTTGATGGCAGTGAGTCTGTGTCTCCTGTTTGGTTTACCTCCCTATCCCCCCTGCTTCCTGCCCCCAGGAACCACTAATAAACTTTGGTCTCTGTACATTTGCCTGTTCTTGTCTTTTTACATAAGTGAGGTCACACAGTATTTGTCCTTTTGTGACTGGCTCAGATATTTTGATTGTTAGTGTTTATTCATGAATTTTTCCAAGGTTACAATCTTATAAGTGATCTTAAGAAAAGGGCTTCAGCCTTTGTTGATACAGACTGCACTCACAATCACTTTTAAGGAGAGAGGTTTGGACTTCTGACATTAGTTACCATAATCCAAGGAGATGGTTAGGCTTTGAATGTCTAGACAATAAAGAAAACTGATTTCTAGAATAATGTCTTTCAAATTGAATTAAGGTATATATTCATTTATAGACACACTGTAAAATTATATGAGATGGAATTTGGAGGAACTTTTATAGTAACAGGGAGCTCTGGTGGTACAGTGGCTAAGGCATTTGGCTGCTAACCAAAAGGTCAGGAGTTCAAACTCACCAGCCACTCTGCAGGAGAAAGATGAGGCAGTCTCCTTTTGTAAAGATTAACAGCCTTGGAAACCCTACGGGGAGTTCTACTCCATCCTCTAGGGGCACTGTGAGTTTGGAATCAATTCGATGGCAGTGTTGTTTATGGCAACAAGATGATTTTGGGGGCTGTCAAGGCATAAAGGAAAGGGAGTCTGCCAAGTACTTAGTGGTGAAAACACTATTGATCTAGATTGTTTTGAAGATATATTGTTTCTTTTTTAGTTTTGTATCAGAAATTATCACCGTGCATATGAATTTTGGGTGCATCATATACCAAACCCTAGCATCGACAAAGAACAGAACTGCCAATCACTAGGACCTTGCTATTGTCCCAGAGAAGAATCCAGAATAAATCATGCTATAGCGTAGTGCCTAAGGCACTAGACTGCTGACCAGAATGTTGGCGATTCAAACCCACCAGCCACTCCTTGGAAGGAAGACTGGCCAATCTACTTCAGTAGAGATACTGCTTCAGAAACCTAAGGAGGGGTTGTTATGAGTCAGAGACGACGGCACATGACCACAACAACAATCCATCCAAACCAGCGAGCAGGTAGGCAATAATAGGCCTGTAAGGACCACAGCAAAGCGCGAGAGTGCTCACTGTGGAGTTTTTCAAAATGCAAGTTGTAAACTAAATTGTGAAATCAATTTTGTAGGTCATGACTCGTATTTTTTTTTTTTTAATTATGATGCATGGCTAATTGCTTCTATAATACATTGCTTCTTTGCCATGAGACCAGAACTGGATGGTGTCTGGCTACTATTATTGAACCAAAGATTACAAAGAAGAATCCTGATCAAAAGGGGGAAAATGTAGAACAGATTTTCAAATTTTCATGGAATCCAGACTTTGAGTCATAGAGAGTGGATGAATCCCTGTAACTATTGCCCTGAGGTAATCTTTAAACCTTAAACCTTAACCAAAACTATCCACTGAAGTCTTTTTTAAATCGAACACTAGTGAACTTAATTAGTGAAGAAGGCCTGCCTTAAGCACTGTGCTCTTCTAAATAACCATCTACATGGGATCAAATTGACAACATCTCAAAATGTTCGTTAGCATGGAAAGTGAATGTGTTCTGTAAACCTTCACCCAGATCACAATAAAAAAATTAAAATAATAATAAAAAAATGTTCGCTAGGAGCCTAAGGGGGCAGTGAGTGTGTGTTAATGGAGAAGGAACATGTGGAAAAGGGGGTGAGAATGGTCGCACAACTCGAAGAATATCAACGTCACTGAAGTGCTCACAGAGACACTGGTGAATTGTGCATGCTTTGCCATGTATAATTCCAATAACAAATCAAATGAAATAAATTATTTTTAAAAAAAGGAATAAAAAAATGTATTTGAAATTGAGCAGAATAGAAAATTTCAGACTCATCTGTGGCTTTGGTGGTTGGGGCATAAATTTGAATAAAAGTCACATTAACGGGTCTTCCTTGTAGGCATATAGATATTATTCTATCACTGACAGCATTGTACTTCAGGACAGATCTTG